GTGACGTGTCTTTAAAACTTTATTGAAACAGGAAACCTTGTTACCATACCTTTGAGTTCCACCAGTTGCTCATGGTACTTTCTACGCAACGCCACTTCCTTCCTGTATTTCTCCAGAATATCTTTATTGGCCTCAGACACCTCAGTGATTGCGCTGCACAGCTGATGAGAGCAATGAAAAGGGTATTAAAAAGCTTCTGGATGTGTCACAGGAAAGGTACCAGCAAGATACCAACCCAGGTCATCATTCCTGAGCAAAGATACATTTGTTGGTATTTACGACCTCACTTAAGTCTTTCAATTCCAGTGATTTTATTACACCTTACAATGGATGGTACTGGATTTAGCACGTTAATCTATAAGAAAGCCTAAAACTGAAGTTACAAGTTGTTACAAGTAGGATCTCATCCAGGATCTAAAGAGCTCATCCAGGATCTAAGGATCATCCAGCCATTTCTTGAAGCAACAATGGAATTCAACTTGGCGGCCGGCTGGATAGTTTGATCCAGACCCCACAAACCTATGTGTGAAGAGGTGCTTCCACATTTCAGTCTTAAATACACTTCCTCTTAGTTTCCACTTGTTTCCTTTATCCAGAGTTATTGCTAAAGTAGTCCTCTACATTGACTTTTGTTAAAGAGTTTTCCATTTTTCCATAAAGTCCTCTATGGCAGTTTCCTCTGTTCAAGACTAAAGAGGTTAATCTTTAACCTAAAAAACTGAAGGTCAGGAAATAAAGGCATCATGTGCTCAAGCCTGAGTCATGTCACTTGCTCACAGTGACCTTCCCAAGCTGTGGTGCAAAGTGGGCTCAGTGCAGCAGAAGGTGGTTTGAGTTTATTTGGTCTGGGTGCTTTCAGCTCCTGGAGAAACAGCCTCCCAGGAGCTTGCAGACTCACAGTGTTGTAGGTAAGGGACATTCCCCTCCTTCAGTCAGCACCGCACCACCTGAATAAGGCTTCAGAGCCGGTCAAAAGATTAATGACTCAAAGGTGGGAAGGTTGGAGGAGTATGTTTATACTTCCTCACTCTCGCTGTGTGTAGTTACAGGGTTTGTAGCCATGAACCAAGATGAGAAACACAGATGGTGGCTATAAATTGTGTGTCTATCCATCCATCCATCCATCCATTTTTAACCACTTTATCCAATACAGGGTAGCAGGAAAGACAGTGCCTATCCTGGCAAGCAACAGGCGGAAAACAGAATATACCTTGGATTGGACACCAGTCCATCACAAGGCACACACACACGGGTCAATTTGACAAACGCCAATTCACCCGCCAGTATATCTTTCAGTCTGGAAGGAAACAGGGGAATTCAAAGGAAACCAATGCAAATGCAGGGGCCCATAGCTACAAGGCAGCAATGCTATCCTTTGTGCTACCATGTCCTTGTGCAATATTCCCATTTTAAATTAAAGACAACAACATACTGCATATTAGCATTAAAATGGATAAATAGAGCATGCCTTAAAATCACATCACTCCCATCGTAAAACATGCCCGAACAGACCTGTTTCTTTGCCTCACTGATAGCGGCACCATAGAAGTCGGAGAAGCTCCGGACCTGACTGCGCAGGCTGCTGTAGTTGGCCTTCACCGTGCGGAGCGCAGGCTGCAGCGCTGACAGGCGGCTCTGCAGACCTGCGGGATAAAAGACCAGTACCTTTGTGTGCAGAGCCAGAGTAAATCCAAACAGGACGAAAACAGCAAGACAAAACCTGGAAGCTGGCACGGATAAGCTGAAGGAGGACAGCCCGGGGGGAAACTTGGGGAGGCCTTATTTCAGCAATGGAACCACAAAGACTGAAAGTGATGCATGATATGTTTTATCTGGTGAACCAGCAAACTGTAACAAGGATATAACAATTGATCTTCTAATCAAAACGTGCAAGAGCTCCTAAGCTCTAGAACTTGGCAGACTACACAGTGAGGTTTTAGCATTAACTGCAAAGAGGGCTATAGAAAACATGACATTCTAAGGAAAACATAAGCCATAGTGAAATTATTTTTAAAACAAAGGAACCTTGTATGTGTCACGACCGCCAGGCAGTTAAGACCAACTCTTAAGCGATCTAATCAGCACCAGCAGCGGGTGATTATTAACAAATGCATGGAGAATGGTGAGGACAGCTCTCACCAAGTCAACCCAGCGCCAGGCCAAATTCACAAACTGACACTTCAGACCAGCCCCCGTTTTCGGTGAGGACAGTTTGTTTGGCTATCAACAAGGAACCTACCTCTACGCCTGCCTTCCAAGAAGCTCGGGCCTAGGTATATCGGCCCTTTCAGGATACTCTCCCGGATCACCCCGTTTACCTTCCGTCTTGCACTTCCCCCCACTCTCAAAATCCACCCGTCTTTCCACGTCTCCCTCCTGAAACCCTTCTACCGCTCACCTCTTGTGGCTCCCCAACGTTGCCCGCCACCCCCACCTTGCATTCAGGGCCACCAGGCGTATACAGTCCACAAGATCCTCGACTCTAGATGGAACTACGGTACCCTTCAGTATCTAGCCGACTGGGAGGGTTATGGCCCCGAAGAAAGATCTTGGGTTCCGGAGAAGGATATTTTGGACCCTACGCTAATCAGAGACTTCCAAAGGGACTATCCTGATCGCTCTACCTGGCGTTTTTCCCGTACCCCATTTATTCTGGATATTGGACTCCCCTTCTGCCTTTTCGACTTTGGACCTCGCCTCTCGCCTCAGACTGTTTGCCACCTGTGTTCTCCCTGGATTATGACTTACCTTACGCCTTTTGACCACGACCTTGCCTCTTGTTTTGGATAGTTCGCCTGCCTCATCTACTACCCGTGCCTGCGTCTGCACAGGATCCTTGTATCTCCCCACCAGGGATTCCTAACAGTATGTTTCTGTGTATGGATGGAAATGACCACTATAATAAGGAAAATTCAGTATAGCTACAAAATTCCCCCCATGAGAGAGCATTACTGTATGTTGAACCCCCCGTGGAAAGATTTACTCCAATAGTTACCTGTGAATTGCTCTTACATTGAGTGCAGGGGGGAGATACCTGTGAACTGCTCCCACAGGTGCTGAGGGGAGATACCTGTGAACTGCTCCCGCAGGTGCTGAGGGGAGATACCTGTGAACTGCTCCCGCAGGTGCTGAGGGGAGATACCTGTGAACTGCTCCCGCAGGTGCTGAAGGTGCTGCTCTGAACACTCCGCGGCCTCTCTCACTGCCTCCTCCTTCCTGGCCTCCAGGTGCCCGATCTCTGTCAGCAGCTGCTGCCCCAGCCTCCCGATCTCAGACTCGTAAGCCACAATCTAAATCAGTGAGTTCAACACAGATCACAAACACCATGGTGTGTTTCAGAACGTATACTTCTTTTAAACTAAAGAGGAGGCTCACGATGGTGTCACTAAGTTTTTTTCTTACCTTTAAAATTTTAATAGGAGACACAAACCAAGTTAACATGATGTAGAAAATATCTGTACCTGCAAAACCAAGGCCATGCTTACTAGGAATGTACAACTACTTACAGTGCTGATTGGTAGTTGCTGGAATGTTGTTTTTAATCTAAATTACCTTTTTCTGCAGGCTGGCAGAAATTTCTTCAGAATCCCTGAGCTGCCCCTCCAGTTCCCTGTATTTTTCATTCTGGCTGGACAGCTTCTCCGTCAGGTGCTCATTCCTCTCTCTCGTCTCGGCCAGCAGCCTGAGAGTTCCAGGTGAGTCCACCTCCACAGTCTGCGTGACATACTGCAGGATTCAGACAGCCCCAGACCTGTGTCAGTGGTCCTCAATAAAAATGTCTAGCACAGGTTTCCCTGTGACACAAATACTTCAACACTTTCACAAGTTTTCTTTTGAATGTAGTAGAAGCACTGCACTTACTGAAGAAAGGCACTCAGCTTTTGACATTCTTGATTTTGAACATTGTATAGTTTTCCATTTTAGATATAAACTATAAAGTAGCTTACTATCTATTAGATAAACCTTTAATTTTTATTGTACATATATTTTTTTTCAATTATACAAGTGAATGAATAGAATCAGTGTATATGTGTTCCTGGTTCAGTCTATCTCTTACTGTTGGGGAAGGACTGACACTGGGAAACAGTGCTGCCCAGCCCTGACTGTGGCTCAGCTCTGGTGGCAGAAAAGCAGCCTCAGAGGAAACTCAGCTCTCACAGACATGCACACGTGCGAGACTCATACTGTCCTCGTACCTTGATCTTGGGCCCTCTGCTCCTCTCCTTGTCCAGCTCCAGCTGCAGCTCCCTCACCCTGTCCTCTCGGCGATGCAGCTCCTCTTTCCTCCTCCACTCGGTCTGCTCCGCCTCTCTCTCCAAGTGAGCCAGCTGCTCGGCCCGGAGCTGCAGAGAGCTCTCCAGCTGCTGAACCCGGCTCCGCAGAGACTCGTTTTCCTGGAAGAGGTACAGATTTTCAGAGTGTAGCCACTGCTTTTGTGGCTTCGGTATTTGTCTTTCATGTTTGAACGTTCAGTTGAGACATGACAAGGTACACTCCATAACTTTCTAGTGAAAGATGAGTACGCTCCATAATATTCAGCTAAGAGATGTCTGGATGCTCTCTCTACCACATTCTACCAAGAGATGACAGAGTACACTCCATAATATTCAGCTAAGAGATGACTGGATGCTCTCTCTACCACATTCTACCAAGAGATGACAGAGCACACTCCACAGTATTCTGCTAAGTGATGGCAAGATAGACTCCATGACGTTCTACTGAGAGATGTCAAGATACACTGCACAATATTCTACTAAAAGATAACAAGATTCTCTCTATATAATGTTCTGCAGAGAGATAACAGAACGCTCTCTGTATAACGTAAGAGAGAGATGACAGAGTACACTCCAGAATCGAATCTGACTCTATGAGACTGTGAGTTGCCTGGAAGCTGAAGCCAAGTTGATGAGAGATTTGCTGCTGATTAAATCCAGATAATCAAAATAATTAGCTGCTTTTAGGATACAGAGTCCTTGTAATTCGATACAGCAAAATAAGTAAGAAGGATTTATAACTCTTTCAGTTTTTTTTTAATTGAATTGCCTATTTTTTATTGCTCCTAATTTCTAATTGCTTAACTGACAAATTTAGCTTTGACAGAAATACCTTATAGGCAGTGTGTGGGAAGTGACAGCTATTCACACCTTGTTCCAAAACGTTTGTCAGGGAACAATTTTTCATGCCATCAGCCCCACAGTGCCCACAGGGGAGTTAGTGCTTATTGATGAGATCACAAGCTAACAGGTGCTCAGCAAACCCAGTATTTTGCACTAATCTGAAGATAACCTTTTCAGCTTCTGGGCAATCAAGAGTAATCCACTGCTTAGAAAATACAGTAAATGGCATACCTTAGCCCACACAATGCCTACACTGCAGGGCTCAACCTGTGCCCTGACTACTTTTCTTTACTGCTGTTTGAGCCACATGGGAACCCATAGAGTAACTGCATTGATGTGTTCATCGATCCTGCCCAAAGTGTATATTTCAGGTGGGTAGCTGCGTCAGCATGTGTAGGCTGCAAAGGAACAAGTAATAGGTTTATTCCAAGCTGAAAAGAGAAGAAAAAAACCACAAAGTGTTTTCTTTCTTCTCTTTTTAGCATGGAATAAACCTATTCCATAAAACATTGCAGGTGTTTTATGGAATAAACACCTGCAATTATGTTTAAAACAATAATGTGTTCTGCAAATATTGTCAGTCTATTATGGCAGGTTCGTACAGCATGTACAGTGCCTTGCGAAAGTATTCGGCCCCCTTGAACTTTTCAACCTTTTGCCACATTTCAGGCTTCAAACATAAAGATA